GGGCTTAAAGATTACCTCCAGGAGCCAAGTGCAAAGGCCAAACATCTCTTTGGACAAAAATTCTTTACTACACATATACATTTTCTAATAGAGTTAAATTTATTCACTCACTGAATAAACATTTGTTGGCCCATAAACTGCTGAGCGATGAAAGTAGCATTGAATTTACACTTTATCGAAGAATTCAAACATAAGAGAAATAATCACAATTCAATTACAAGTTATTTTAAATTATATTTTTTAAAATATAAACAATATACCACGCGATAGGGACACTGATGAGGGTTATTCCTTAGTAGAAATTAGCAAAACAAAACAAAAAACCTGAGCCAAGGGTGGCTAGAGATGTATCTGATTGAGTTGCCTCTTTCTTTGTCCAGTTCTTGTCCACTTCCCTCTGATTTTTTTCTTCTGTTCTGCACTGAAATGGTCACGTTTTCATATCAACTTTATAACGGATTCTCAGGCTCTACCAAAAATTGCTCAAACATCAGATTGTAGAAAAGAACTCTCATAAACTGATTTCTAAGAAGTCTTTTCTCTCCTCAAATACATTCTGCAAAATGCCTGTAACTGGTTGCTGGGAAATGTCTTTTCTGTACTGACAAGGTCTTGTACCTGCTAGACTTTCTCTTTGTACATCTCTGCAGCTTTCTCCCTCCCTCTTTGGATCCTCTCTAGTTACTGTATTTTTTCCCACGTTGCTGCAGGTAATGTTCTATGCTGCAGTGATCGATGCTGGATGATAAAAGAAGTCTGTGTGAGTCCAAATCCCGTCAACTCCAAAGCAGATATGAGGTCTTCATGATATGTCTTCTCTATCCATGGCTTCCTCATAGCTTACTGTTTAACCACACCCCCTTAGCCTCATTGGCTACACAATTATCAAACTTTTTAGTTAATTTTCATGAATAAATGGAATCCATGGGGCTAAGAATGGTGTCATTTTTAGAAAAACATTTTAAGTCCACTTCAAAGTATCTCAGAGTTAGAATGCCCCAGAGTTAGTGGTAATACTTTAATAAAGAAATACAACTGGAGTCTTGAGTACTGACAAATATTAGATATCAATATACGAGATACATACTATGGATTCAAGTATCAAACCAATGCGTTGTATTCATAAGCAAAAACTATATGCTCAAAATTAGTTGTTGTAAATGGAGAATTGAGGGCTTAGTCACCCACAATTTCTTGAGTACTTATTTGCTCTATTACAATTCTGAGTCTAAAGTTATACTCTTTTTCATTTGTTTTAAGTGAAACTAATGCTTACCAATAGTCAGACTGCTTTACTAAAGTGTTAACAACAGGTGTTAACTGCTGTTAACATGCTTGGCTGCTAACCCAAAGGTTGGTGATTTGAGTTTACCCAAAGGCATCTTGGAAGAAAGACCTGGCAATCTACTTCTGAATGTTACAGCCTTGAAAACCCTTTGGAGTGTGTTATACTTTGACATACACGGGGTCACCAGAAGTCAGATTCAATTCAACAGCAATTGGTGGCTACAAATGATGAATGCTGTGCTGGGCTTATGATTGGTTCTAATTCTCAGCTTCTCTGTGATACACTCCTGATGCCACCAAGATAACTGTGATGTCTGGACTTTGACATTCAGGGGAAAAAATAATTATTTGCAGGGTTAAAAGTTGGAATAGTTGGTTACTCCTTACTAAGTAAAGTACTATTAGAGATATCCAAATAAATTAGAAGTCAGTATCATAAAGTTGTCCACCAAAATAGGGACATCTAGACACTTAAATTTTCCAATTAATATGGAAATTTTCATGTAATTCAGGAAAAAAATATAATGTTCTTTATATGTTTCCATATGTCCCCTTAGAGTGTCTACATTTTAAGATCACAAACCACTCTTTACATTCCAGTTTAATATCTAAACTTTTTCCTTTCCACATAACACAAGGTATATAGGGAATTTGGGCATTTTGACCTCTTGATTCTAACAACCGTTAGCCTAACCAATAATGAAAGTAGTGTGGAAATACTACAGAGCAAGCCTCTCTGATTTAAACATGCTAATTCTGATGGTTGGAAAATCCTACCCAGGAGAAATAAATGTCAGCAGCACACTTGATTACAAAAAGCAAGAAGCAGGCGCCTCCTCCGAAGTCAGAATGACCAACTATCCATTATCCACTATCCAACCACCCACTTTACGGAACTGCCTCCCTATTACAAATCACTTTATCTTTTCAACTCTGAAGAATCCCAGACACGTTCTCTAAACATGAGTCCAAAAGGCTTTACTCTGGGTGAGACCTCGGGATCAGTATCCTTTTCAGTGCGTGTGGAAAGTGGGCAAGGAAATAACTGCATCCACCTGGGGTTGCTGATGGCGCCAGCAGGGTAGAACAAGGATGCTTTGGTTTGTTTGGTCTCTGTATTCTCTGTTCTTGCAGGGTGGGTCATTGCTGGGAAATATTTCCTTTCCTGGCATTCCAAGAAAGGGATGGCCTCAACAGGTGTTTCATTGTTCTGTCATTTAAAAAAAAAAAAAAAATTGCCATCGACTCAATTCCAACTCATGACAACACCATGTGTGTCTGAGTAGAACTGTGCTCCATAGGGTTTTCAGTAGCTGATTTTTCTGGAATAGATCATCAGGCCTTTCTTCCAAAATTCTGTCATTAAACACGTGGATATTCTATCCTGCCAGAATAAGAAAACTGATATAACCATACTGGGGCCTGAAATCTTTCTCAGAAATACTGCCATCGTGTGGCACTTTGGAGCTATGACCACAAGAGAACTGTGAAAGGTCATAAGGTTCATCTCAAGATGGCTGGGCTCCAGTGAAATCTATTCCTATAACTCCCTAAGTTCATACTGAATCATTCTCGTGGGCACAGAGTAAACTACAGTGAATCCTGTGGACATTTATTTGTTTTTAGAATTTTTGAACTTCCGCCTACTATGTTGACAACATGACAAATTTATGTGGGTAATGTGTTTAAGGGGAAAAAAAAGCTTTAAAAGCAGAAATAAGTCTATTTGCTAACATTATCTCCTGTGCGCTTTGTATTTTGTAAGACAAATGTAATTTTTAATTATTAAAATGTTACTTATAACCTACAAATCATAAGAAAGAATGTCCTTCATTTGGATGTATCCAGTTTAAAAGAGACATATTTCCTACACCAAATGTTCATATGGATTAGTTATCCTACTACTGTTCCAAAAAATTGTTGAAATCTAGATTTATATTATGAGCAATATTCAGCAGATAGCAGCTGACACTTTAGAACTAATAATAAATAGTATCATTTACCTTTAATCTCACTTTACAAACAATTATTACAATGGAGGTGTGATATAAGTGAATAGTGCAATCCCCATTTCATAGCTGGGAAAAGTAGATAAAGAGATTATCTCAAAACAATATGAAATATTTAAACAGAGTCGGAGCTCTGCTAACCCTGATTTTTGCTCCAATATTCAAACACCATCTGTAATTCTCTTTTGTTCAAACACCTTTTTAATACTCAGTAAAGTTTTTTTAACTATAGAGTTTTTTGGTTTTTGTTTTTTTGTAATTTCTTAAATTGAACAATCAACTATGTATATATCCTGGCAGGAAAACTGGAGCCGTGGTGGTACAGTGGTTAAGAGCTATGGTGACCTATGGCTGTTAACCAAAAGGTTGGTAGTTTGAACCCTCCAGCTGCTCCTTGGAAACTATGGGACAGTTCTACTCTGTCCTATAGACTCGCTATAAGTTGGAATCGACTCAATGACAATGGGTTTTGGGGGAAGAAAACTAGAAAAACACGATTCAGAAATTTAATCCATTCCTTTAGATGTGTGCAAATTAACCCTACTGGTATACACAACTTAAAGACCTTATATCCACTCTCATTCTAGCAATCCATTACACTTAAAGACATTAAAAATCATGACTACCTGCCCCACTAAAAAAAATTTAATAGGTAACACTCATGCAGTGCTTAATATGTGCCAGACATTGTTAGTTTTACATACACTAATCCATTCAAACCTCTCAAAAACCCTGTGAGCTAGGTAACAGTACCTCCTTTTTACAGATGAGGTACAGGTATAGGTAAGTTAAGTGATTTGCCCAAGGTTGCACAGCTAACTGGTGGCAGAGTGGGATTGAAATCAGGAGTAGATCACCACCTGGATCCTGAAGCAGCACTCTTAAGCAGTAACCATGCTCTTAGTCATAAAATGCTTTAGTTTAGCAACATCTAAAGTAACTTACCATTCTTCCTTTTTATATAGCAAGTTATCAGATGTATCACCTCCTACCCATTCAAACGGCTTCAATAGTGTAACAAAAACCTATGTCCTTGAAAGGTCACTATAAATCCAACTTAATGGCCATAAACATGAATTTTAATGTCACTAATGCCGTTTATCTAAATGGCAAGCTGCTGCATATTTGAAATCATAAAATTGAACTTGAGTAGTAAAGGATAGAGGTTCGTTCCCTAAACTGTGTGTGCCTGAACAACAGCCTTCTAGCTCTGAAATAAGTACAATCATGGAGGCAAATTTGCTTGCAGATATTACCTTAATCCGTTATGTAAACTGAAAGAAACAAAAATCCATTCTATTTCATTTCATTTGGGGCATTTCTTCTAAATCAAAAACTATAAATTAAACCTTCGCAAGAACTAGTTACTTTTACCTGCTTTTTAAAAATGGGACTCCTAGGTGTTCTTCCATGACGGTGACTGCCAAGCCTATAAATGAAAAAACAAGTTAATGATATTGTACATAAGTAATGTTTTAACTGGAGAGTAGTTTGTGTATGTATGTTTGTTTTTTTGTTTTTTTTAAAACCACAAAACCAAAACGGGAAGTGTAGGAGCGGGTGGGCTGGGCAAAAACCTCCTGATGTATGGCTCCGCCTCCCGGCGTTGGTGGAGAATGTCTGGAGCAGCATTTAAATTCTGGGAGGTCCCTGGTGTCCGCAGCAGCCAGAGGAGGCAGGGCAGTGCAGCAGCAGCATCCCTTTTCTGACTGGACTCTTCCGCCAGCTGCAGCCTTCTCAGCCAGACACCAACCAAGGTGAGTCTGCAGTTTGCTACTTGATTGCTGTGCTAGACATTCTGTTTCATTTCATGGGCAGTCCAAGTTATAAGAAAAATAATTTAACTCTAAGGAAGTTAGCTCAGACTTAAATTGTTCTAGTCGTTTGAATAAGCATGTCAGATACATTGCAGAACTCTTGGAGGAAAGATGATCATCTATTCTGAAAAGCCAGTTGAAAATAAAACTTAAAATACTTCCACTAGGTTCTCCAAAAAGCTGAAACCGTTGTTTCAGATCAGAAAGAAAGGTAAAATTCTATGCCCCTTTGGAATTACTGTAACTATATAGTTATAAATGGATAGATGATTGTGGAGGTATTTAAAAAGGAAAAGGATGCTTAGTGCTAATGCTATTTTTTTTTCACTATAATTCAATCTATTTCCATTTCAAGGGGGAAAAAACATTTTCTGAATGTTTTACATATGTATTTTGCTGTTAAATCTTTCATCATATACCTATATGACACTATGTTGGTTTGTTGTCACAATAGAGAAAAGCTATTGACTGTTTTCAGTGTTTTCTTTTTCATTTCAAATTTCTGGAATACCTTACTTAAATGGCTCACTTTAAAGATAGGTCCAATTCACCTAAATAGCACTTTCTTAATAATTTAAAACCATGTTTGAAATGCTTGCTGGATAAACGGAGAAAACAAATTTTTTACATGGTTTGATTTTCTCTCTATTTGTGTTTATCTTTTCTGAAAAGTGAAATAGTCCCTACACTAGTTTTTAAATTATGTGGATGACTGTTGATCTGTTTTTGAGTTAAGACAGGTGGTGGTATCAGGTAGTAATGGTATAATCTCTGGAGCTCTAAATTTAAAAGTTGTATAAATATAGACTTGTAAAATTTCCTCCTCCCTTGCCTAATAGTGAGAGATGGAGAATAGAGGTGGCATTACAAATATTAACTCAAAAGACCATGGTATTAAAAAGAATGGGTTTCGCTAAGAAGTAGAAAACATTCTACAGAAAGTAAACTCCGTTTGTGATTATTTCATAAGGTGGTAGCATAAATAGGTATCATTGTTTTAACCTACAAGGATATCAAATGTTCCTTACAAAATGTTTTGCAGGAAAAACCACTACCATGAGAATTGCAGTGATTTACTTCTGCCTCTTAGGCATTGCCTACGCCCTTCCGGTGAGTACAGCTGAATCTTAAAGAAAATTCCTGAAGATAAATGAATTGTGTGCTTCCATGTGCTAGGAACACATTCCCATTGAAATCTTCATTTTTTTCTATTTAAAGGTTAAACACCAGGCTGATTCTGGCAGCTCTGAGGAAAAGCAGGTAAGCATCTTTTAGGTTCATCATACAGTTAAATTATTTATGCAGCTATTGCAAGAGGCACTATAAACATACTTGTTGCAACTTTACTTATTTTCAAAATCAAGTCTGTTAAGTTATAAGCATTTGTTGGCTCCCTGCTATGAATCTAGACCAGTATCAAGTACAGCATGGTTTTTAATAAATGTATCATCTTTTAAAACCAAACTAGATTTTCTTTAATATGGAAAATAATGCTCTGGATCAATATCACTTATGTAAAATGATTTCTATGAAATCATGTGACTTTTTTTTTTTCCCCCATGAGTCAACATACTGTTCTAGAAGTAGAAAATTCCATTCTTTGTTTTATTTAGTGGAGAACTAAGTTTAAAATTTGCCTCAGATATTAGTCAGGACTGGTTGTATGACTATGATGCTCATCATATCTCCTCAGATATTTCCTAAGAGGCTTATTGTGAAAAGAAAGTCTATTTATGCTGTTTGTATCTATTGTGCTTGTTAGCCAATTTTAGATCACATTTTCCTAACCAAACATAGGACGAAATCAAACTCTCTGTTATAATAATTATAATTACAATAATTGGACCAGCCCCGTAGATGTACCTACCCCTCCACAATAGATGAAACTGTGCCAGCCAAACAACAAATGGGCATTGTCCCAAGATGCTTAGACAAAGGGCACACAGAGTGCAATTCCAGATGAACAGAATAAAGGCTAATATACAGTTGCCTGGGCACAGTGCAATTAGATTGCTTAATGAGGACATTAAGAGAGGTATTATTGTGTGTGTTTGTGTGTGCATCTGTGTATATGTGTGTGAGTGGGTGTGTGCAGGTATGTCTGTTTTCCAGTTGATTTGAGAACACAGATGTTGAATCACAAGAATAAACCAGAAAAAGACATATCAGAGAAAATGGTCACAATATTTGAGGCAAGAATTAGTGCCTTTTTAATACAATAAAATATGGCAAAGATGCATCTTAAAAAGGCACTTGAAGCAGTAACAGTTTATGTCCTTAGATGATACTTAGGATATTAGTGAATGAGTTGAAGACTCCAACTTCTAGAATCCCAGAAATTTAGAGTTGGTAGGAAATATGGGAAAGTCTGTAGGGATGTACCCCAGAGTGGCTGTTGAGCACTCAAAATGTGGCTAGTGCAACTGAGGACTGAATTTTAGCTTTATTTAATTTTACTCAATTTAAATTTAGATATCCACATGTGGCTGTCGTTGTTCTTGTTGTGTGCTGTCAAGTTGATTCCGACTCATAGCGACCCTATATGACAGGGTAGAATGGCCCCATAGGATTTCCTAGGGGGAAAGCAGAAGCAGATTGCCAGGTCTTTTCTCCCATGAAGCCGCTGGTGGGTTTGAACTACCTGCCTTTCATTTAGCAGGCAAGGGCTTAACCACTGCAGCACCAGGGCTCCTTAAATGTGGCTAGTGGCTACCATGTTAGACAGCACAGCCTTAGAGGATTTCTCCTTGTTCCATAGAGAGGAAAACAATGAAGATTAACACTAATGAAGGGCACCTCTGCTTTAGATGTGTTTATCTGAGAGGAAGATTGAGCTAGCAAGCATGGAACAGGAAAGCATAATGTTAAGATCAGTGTTAAGAGCTAGTTTGCCTGGGTTTGAATCCTGGCTCTGCCACTTACTACCACTTAACCTCCTTGTGTCTGTTTCCTGATCTGTAAAATGTGGACAAATAATGATACCTACCTCATAGGGGGTTGAGAGAATTAAATTAATTAATAGGCGTAAAGCACTTTGGAAAGGTGCCTGGACCCTAGTAAGTGCTATGTCGGAGTTTTTTAAATGAATCTACAAGAAAAAATAAATTAAACAAAAGGTCCTGAAGACTCTGGTTGACTGTATGCATTCATATTATGCTCTTCCATCCACGACTGGTATAGTTATTTTTACAGTTTATCACTTAGAGATCCTTATGTTTCTTTTATCTGTAATGACATATGCAACTTTTTTTGTAGCTTTACAGCAAATACCCAGATGCTGTGGACACATGGTTAAAGCCTGACCCATCTTACAAGCAGATTCTTCTAGCACCACAGGTATTTTTAAACTTCTCCCAATATAAAAAAAGAAGAAAAAGTAGCTACCAAGCCAACATTTGGGCTGGTTAAATGGATCCATCCTTCCCCTTCTACCTCTTGGTGAAGGTGCACTTAGGAGACCTATTGATCCACCATGTTTCTTCTTCCCGTTATAAGCCATCCACAGATCAGGCCAAAAACCAAACCTGAGTTGGACTGGAAAGGCTAACTTTTGAATCAAAGAGTTAGACATATATGATGTACACTAATAATGCACCTTCCTTCCTGTGCAGAATGCCGTATCCTCTGAAGAAACTGACGACCTTAAACAAGAGGTGAGTTCTCCTTTTCAATAGGGGGTCCATCACATCTTGGAGAGAAGGAAGCCATTCTTTCTTCTAATGGCATTGCCTGGGTTTTCTTCTGATGAAATTCCGTTAGCAAGTTCTTTAGTAAATTGCCATTCTAAAACTTGTTCAGAAAAAGTCTTTTAAAAAAACATGTATTTACTAGAAGTCAGAAATACCAGGTTTCTTCATGTATGTTTAGTGTTGTAGGGAATGTTTACATGCCTGTTATTTTATTTAAGGTATTTTATAACTGTCTTACCTGATATTTGATAAGCATCTAACTAATTAACTGGTTAATTCAATTAAGAACTTTGAGGGGCAGTTTATCCACACATGTCTAGTAGAATCCCTTTTTGATTATCCATGCTAACAGCAAGGTGGTTTTAGGTTTTGGCACATAACGTTCAAATATGCATGCTCTAATTTCCAGTGAATTCCCACTATTTCAAGGAGAAAAATCAACCTCACAATTATGTATCCGTATCTATTGCATCATTGAATTTAGTAAATTAATGTCTAATATATCCAAGGAAAAACAACATTATCAATATGAATGTTAATCCACTTACTTGCTTTGAAAATATCTATCAAAATACTTTTTATGGGAAAGCAAGGAAAATAGCTCAGAATACTATTCTACTGATCCTCGTGGGAGATGTTAAAGGAGAAATTGGAAGATGCTCACTTTAGCTCCTAAAAGCCATGAAGTGTATTATGAATGCAGAGATTCTTCAACTAAATGAAAGAAAAATAGTATGTACTGTAAAGGCTGAGGAAAAATAAAAAGCCATATACTAATTTTTGTGGCCATCTGGATTTTTAGACCCTCCCAAGTAAGTCCAGTGAAAGCCAAGATCAGACAGACAGTGTGGATGATGAAGATGATGGAGAGCAGGTGGACAGCCAGGACCCCATTGACTCAGACGACACGCACGAGGATGATCATACTGATGACTCCAACCATTCCAACGAGTCTAACCATTCTGATGAATCTGATGAACTGGTCACTGATTTTCCCACTGACGATCCAGCAACCTCAGTGTTCACTCCAGCTGTGCCCACAGTAGACACTTATGATGGCCGAGGCGATAGTGTGGTTTATCGGCTGAGGTCAAAATCTAAGAAGATCCCCAGATCTGACATCCAGGTAAATCCCTTAACAGATACATTGGATACTTATGATTAAGTTCACTTCTAGGAAACTAGAGCCTGCATATTCATCCATTTATTCATTCACCAACTAAACAAGCAAGCAAGCAAGCATTTATTAGTAACCTATATTATAACCATTAAATTCAAAACCTTTTCCACTTGGTGTTTTTTATGTTTAAGCCCACATAATTTCTCCTTAATTTTCTCTCTCAAGCACAGTTCTATTTTTTCAAGTCCTAGTTCTAAAGCATTTATTCTACTCACTTTTTTAGGTTAAATAAAGACTTCAGAAAACAGCAGTTATTTTCAAAATATAATTATCATGTTTTGAAGCTAAATATGCAAGAGGAATTGTACAGTCATAAATTACACTGAATCTATAGACAAAGGAGCTGGATTTGACACATAGCTTTGCTGTTTACTCTTCACTTGATTTTTTAACTTTCACTTTCCCTTTATATAAAACAAGGATAATGAGACCTACCTCCTAGGTCTCATTACATACAAAATTGATGTACAATTGATGTGCATAAACCAAAGGAGATGACATATACAGAAGGGCATGGTAAATTACAAAGTATTGTACTAGTTTTTTGTTTTGTTTTAATTTGGCCAATACTTAGACAATTTTCAGTGTGAATTAGCTTAATAGTTAGAGAACAGAACAGAATTACAACGTACCTGTATCTGGCTGTTCATTTAATTCTGTTCCCTTTGTGCTGTGATTCAGCATCCTCATGCCACAGAGGAAGACTCTATCTCACAGATGGAAAGCAAGATGTTGGATGATGCGCACAAGGCCATCCCTGTCATCAGTAGCCTAAAGAAGCCTTTTGATTGGGACAGCTATCAGCAGGACAGTCGTGAAACCAGTCAGCAGGATGATCACAGTGTGGAAACCCATAGCCAAGAGCAGTACAAAGTATATAAGCTGAAGGCAAATGATGTGAGCAGTGAGCATTCCGATACAATTCATAGTCAAGAAGATTCCAGAGTCAGCGATGAACTTCACAGCCGTGAAGACAAGTACTATCCAGACCCTAAGAGTGAGGAAGAAGATAAACACCTGAAATTTCGCATTTCTCATGAGTTAGAGAGTTAATTTTCTGAGGTCAGTTCAAAGGAGAGGAAAAAAATACAATTTCTTACTTTGCTTTTGGTAAATTGGAAAAAAAAACCAGTATGGGGGTGGGAGAAAATATGAAATGTTTATTTCTCAGCTTATTGGGTGAATGTATATGTACGTGAATCTGGAAATAGATAAATGTTTTTGATCATTAGTTTAGTTTGTGGCTTAGTGGTAACACATTTGTGAGCTAATGGCTGCAGGGTTTGGCCTGTGTTCTTTGCCTGTAAGAAACTGTCACTGCATTTTAATGTTTGTTATGCTTTTATGAATCGAATTTTATGCAGAAGCAAACAAAACACCTTTATGCACTTATAAAAGAAAATATTACGTTTTATGTCACTATAATCTTTTGTTGTTTAATTTAGTGTATATTTGGTTGCGATTATTTTGTTTTTGTGAATAAATCTTATGTCTCAGATGTAATGAGAAGTTGATGGTGTCAGGTGCTTCTCTTATTTGTTTTCCCACAGTTGTTCAGCAGCTAATAAAATGTAACCATTTTAATGAAGCTTCTGGACTTAGCAGAGAGTAATCTAGGGCTTGCAGGATCAACGGGCCAATCTTAGTCAAGGGGATGGGGCCAAGTAGGGGTGGATATTCAGTCGGCACTTCTCCAGCCCCGTGGGTGTTTGTGGGCTGCTTCCACCTAGAGTTGGTGCCCTTTTCTAATTGTCACAAAGCTGACACAAAAGCTAATAAAAGTCTAAATACAATCACAAATCAATTTTATGATTTCTCATCACTCCCCAATAATTTGCTCGATAAATTTATTACTTGCCAGTCCTTGCTTGAAAGCTTGGGTAGGTCTCATACCTTTTTTAATCACTCTTAGATAATAAATATATAATTCTTTTGTATTGGAAAACTTAAAAATGCTACTTCAAGCAATAAGCAAAATATCCAATTTCATTGAAAACTAAAGCTTCTGGAAACCAGATGCTTTATTTTCATGTCTTGCTCTTTTGCTCTTCCCTGTTTTTGTTTTTATTGTGCATTAGATGAAATTAGTTTCCATTTGATAGTTTTACATAAAGTGTTTCATGACCTTGGTTTCATTCCCCACAATGTGTCAGCACTCTCCCTGTTTCCGCCCTGGCTTCCTCATTTCCTTTTGTCCTGATTTTCTACCCCTTCATGCCTTCTCATTTTTGCTCTTGGGCAGATAATTGCCCTTTTGATCTTTATAATTGATTGTTCTAAGGAATATGTTCCACTCAGGTATTATTGTTTATCTTATGGTCTTGTCTATTGTTTGGCTGGGAGCTGGTCTTCCGGAATGGCTGTAGTTCTAGGTCACAAGGGTGTTTTAGTGCAATAGTCTCAGAGGTTCTTCCACTCTGTCAGACCACTAAGTCTGGTCTTTTTTGTGAATTTGATTTTTTTAGCTGAAAGTTTACAGAGCAAATTAGTTTCTCATTCAAAGATTTGTACACAAATTGTTCAGTGACATTGGTTGTAGTCGTGTCAGCACTGTCCCCCTTTTCACCCCGTGTTCCCCATGTCCATTAGTCCAGTTTTCCTGTCCCTTCCTGCCTTCTAGTCTTTGCTTTTGGTCCCGTATACTTGACTGAACTAAGAAGCACATTCTCCGTGTGTGTTGTTTGTTTTATAGTCCTGTCTAATCTATGGCTGAAAGGTAGACATCGGGAGTGGCTTCAGTTCTGAGTTAGCAGGTGTCCGGGGGCTATAGTCTTGGGGGTTCCTCCAGCCTCTGTCAGACCACTGTCTTAGTCGACTATCTAGTGCTGCTATAACAGAAATACCACAAGTGGATGGCTTTAACAAAGAGAAGTGTATTCTCTCACAGCCTAGTAGGCTGCAAGTCCAAATTCAGCTCCAGGGGAAGGCTTTCTCTGTCAGCTTTGGAGGAAGGTCCATGTCATCAATCTTCCCTTGGTCTAGAAGCTTCTCCACGCAGGAACCTCAGGTCCAAAGGACACGCTCTGCTCCTGACACTGCTTTCTTGGTGGTATGAGGTCCCCAACTCTCTGCTCCCTTCCTTTTCCTTTTATCTCTAAAGAGATTGGCTTAAGACACTATCTAATCTTGTAGATCTTATCAGTATAACTGCCACTAATCCATCTCATTACATCATAGTAATAAGATTTACAACATATAGTGAAATCACATCAGATAACAAAATGGTAGACAATCATATGATACTGGGAATCATGACCTAGCCAAGCTGACAGATATTTCGAGGGGACACAATTCAATCCATGACAACCACTAACTCTGTTTTTTTGTGTGTGAATTTTAATTTTCCTTGTGTCTTTGGTTTTCTTCATTCTCCTTTGCTCCTGTCGGGTTGGGACCAATAAATGCATCTTAGATGGTCACTCACAAGCTCTTAAAAACCCAGATGATACCACAGTGGGATGTAGAACATTTTCTTTATAGAACTATGTTATACCAATTGAACTAGATATCTCCCCAGGCCATGGCCCCCAGTCCTCAGCCCCAGTAACTCGGTCCCTCAAGGTGTTTAGATATGTCTGGGAAGCTTCTACGATTTTGCCTTGGTCAGGTTATGCTGACTTCCCCTATGTTGTGCGTTCTCTTTCTCTTCACAAAAGTTAACACTTGTGTACTATTTAGTTAGTGATTTCCCCTCAGCCCCTTCTGTCTCTCATAACCATCAAAGATTTTTTTTCTGTGTGTAAAACTTTTCTTGAGCTTTTATAACAATGATCTCACAATATTTGTCCTTTTTGTGATTGAGTTATTTCACTTAGCAATGCCCTCCGGATTCATCCACGTTGTGAGATTCATCATTGTTCTTTATCTTTGGGTAGTGTTCCATTGGGTGGATGTACCATAATTTGTTTATCCATCCGTCTGATAATGGACAATTAGGTTATTTCCATCTTTTTGCTATTGTGATTAATGCTGCAATGAACATGGTGCTGCCAGTTCACTGGCCACTGGTCCTCTGCTGCTGTTTCTCAGCATCTACGCCTTCTCCAGTGTTAACAGTTCTCCTCACTTCCTTCTGAGTCTTCTATCCATTCACAGTTTCAAAACCGGTTCCACATTTTAGGTATCTGTTAGAGCAGCACCGTACTCTCTGTCAACTTTGGAGGACGGTCCTTCTCGTCACTCTTCCCCCGGACTAGGAGCTTCTCTGGGCAGGAACCCTGGGTCCAAAGGACACACTCCGCTCCCAGTGCTACTTTCTTGGTGGTATGAGGTCCCCTGTCTCTGCTTGCTTCCCTTTCCTTTTATCTCTTGTAAGATAAAAGGTGGTGCAGGCCACACTCTAGGGAAACTCCCTTTATATTGGATCAGGATTGTGACCTTAGTAAGGGTGTTACAATCCCACTTTAATCCTCTTTAACATAAAATTACAATCACAAAATGGAGGACAACCACACAATACTGGGAACCATGGCCTAACCAAGTTGACACATATTTTTGGGGGACACAATTCAATCCATTACATTCAGTTTCCGTGTATTTGATTTTTTTTCCCTTGCTCTTCCTGTTATTAATTTCTACTTTTATGGCGTTGTGATCAGAGAAGATACTTTGTATTATCTCAGTGTTTTGGATTTTGTTGAGGGTTGCTTTGTGGCCTAAGATATAGCCTATTCTGAAAAACATTCCATGTGCATTGGAAAAGAATATGTAGCATGCGACTTTTGGGTGGAGTATTCTATACATGTCTATGAGGTCAAGTTGGATGATTGTGGCCTTTAGATCTTCTGTATTCTGTTGAGTTTCTTTCAAGATGTTCTGTCCTTTACTGAGAGTGGTGTGTTGAAGTCTCCTACTATTATTGTGGAACTGTCTATTTCTCTTTTGATGCCATTAGAGTTTGTTTTATGTATTTTGGAGCCCTGTAATTGGGTGCGTAGATATTTATTATGGTTACATCTTTGTGGTGGATTGTCCCTTTAATCATTATATAATGTCCTTCTTTGTCTTTTATGGTTGGTTTTGCTTTAAAGTCTATTTTATCTGAAATTAGTATTGCCACTCCTGCTCTTTTTGGGTTGCTGCAAATGGTTTACTCTTGACTGCTAATCTAAAGGTTGGCGGTTCCAACCCACCCAATGGCACCATGGAAGAAAGACCTGGCAACCTGCTTCTGTAGGGATTACAGAAAACTCCAGGGAGCAGTTCTACTCTGTAACACGCTGGATCGCCATGAGTCGGAATCAACTCAACAGCAACATGTATGTAAATGATATAATAATATACCTAGAAAACAGAGAATCAAAGCAAAAAAAACTAAGAAATCCTGTAAGGTAACATGATATGAAATTAACCTAAAAACATATATACAAAAAGTACAAACAGTAACTATTTAGAAGTTATAATGCCATTTAATATAGATATTAAAAACATAAAATACTTAACAGGAAATGTGCAAAAACAATATTGGGAAAACTGTAAAACACTTCTGAAAGACAAAAAAGAATACTCGAACAAATGGAAAGACATTACTTCTTCTGATACAGAACAATTCAATGCCATAAAGATGTCAATTCTCTCAAAGTAATGTATAGAAGTAATGTGATTTCAATAAAAATAAAATGAATTTTTTTTCCTGGAGCTATGCAAGCTAATTCTAATGCTCATAAGAAAAAATAATCATACAGTGATTTTCTTCAGAACATCAAGGAAAATTCTGAAAAATAAAAGCGATAAAGGAGGTCTTGCCTTAACAAATATAAGAACATACTGTAAATCTTTCTAATAAAAATATTTTAATACTAGCATATGAATAGACAGACTAATGGAAGAGAATATTAAGACCTGAAGTAAACCAAAGTACATATAGAAATTTCCATATGATAAATATGATATCTCAAATCACTTGGGAAAAGATGGATTTTTAAATAAATGATGTTGAGTAACAAGATATCCAATTGGAAAAAGGTAAAATCGGATCTATAACTCACATCATACATCACAATAATCTCCAAACTTACCAGAAATCTAAATTTAAAAGAAAATTATTAAAATACTAGAAGACTACATGAGTGAGTTACTTTATAATCTGGGTGTAAGGAAAGGTTTTCTATGATCCAAAGATCACAAAAAAAATTTTTTTTATATTTGACTAAATAAAAATTAGCCCTTCTACTATACTGGCCCTAACCCCATGATCAGAGATCCAGTGTGATGATTCTGCCAGTTGACAAGTACATCTATTCCAATGATAGATTCAGGATCTGGGGAAATAACCACAGGAAAAAAAGATCTTGCAGCACTGCTTCAGGTACATGACGTAAATACCCCTCCAAGTCTCCCTCAAAGGAGCCTATGACCATTTACTAGAGTGCCTGTGTACTAGAGAAAAGGAAATACCCAGATCTTAAGGAATGATTGACTCTAAATGGACACTAATTAGTAGAGACCCAAATTACCGCTAAGGCCCACCCATCAAAGTGGGGGCTTATAGTGGTCAGATGACAGATGGAGTCGTAACTCCAGGATGAC